AGTAGAGATGGCTTCAAGAGGCAAGAACTCTGGCTGATTTTGCAGAGGAACTAGATCAGGTTCCCAGCAACCTTGGCCAGTTTACAGTCATTGGTGACTGAGGTCCCAAGGGATCTGACCCTCTGGAGGATGTCACACACACAGTCCATAGACATACATGCAAACAAGACGTTAACATACATAAATCGAAATCTAAAAGAATGAACAAAGGCCCCAAGACCATAAGGCTCAAAATTTCTTTTTGGTTTTTGAAGATGGTTTCTCTTAACAGCTCTGGCAGTTCTAGGATTCACTTTATAGGCCAGGCTGGCATCAAACTCACAGAGACCCGCCTGTCTCTGCCTCCTGAGTTCTGGAATTAAAGGCATTCACACCACCTCTTGTCCTAAGGGTCAAAGCTTCTAACTAAACTGCCCCCTACAAATCTCAGCAAGACTCTGGAGCATTGGGTACCTGTGCCGTGCCCCCATCCCCCCAGCAGGCCAAGGCCAGACTGGGCTATAGATAAGAAGCAGGGGGATGCCTGGCAATGGTGGCACACCTTTAATCGCAGAGGAGTTCAAAACTAGCCTGGACAACCGGGGCTACACACAAACCTACCTGGGGCGGGGGGGGGGGGGGGGGGACAAGGTCACAAGATCAACCTATCAAGACACCCAGAATAGACACCAACTTAGGATACCAGCCAACAGAAGTAAGTTGGTAGCCTCAGGTATTCAGAATAGAAAAGTATGTAAGCAAGAGAAAGGACTCTGAGAACCCGGGGAGAGAAAGAAATCTTTATTATTGTTATTAAATAGTGAACAGAGCCCAGGAAGAGATAGGACCTCGTGGGTAATGTGGAGTCCCAGAGTAAAAGGGCAGGGGCGCAGCTTGAGAGGAAAAAGTGGTCTTTGTCTAATGTGCACAAGGCCCTGCTTTCAATCCTTAGAACTGGAAAAGCGGGGTGGGGGTTCACTTTCAAACTTGCAGGTTCAGGAAGCAAACTTCAAGCTCGGGGAAACAGGTCATATGCTACGGTCTATCACAGTCAAACTGCTCAAAATCCAACAAGAAGCAAAAACCTGAGCGGTGGGAAGATGGACTGAGTGGTGCTCCCTGCCATCCCAGAGCTGAGAGTTTACACATAGTACATGGTATCTGTTGAGCATGGGCGTGGAAATAAAACCAAATACTAAGTCCTAAATACGAGAGCCACTGTTGAATGTGTGTTTCCTTTAATGTCCAGGGAACGAGATAGGAGGAGCTTGGAGAGTCTAAGGGCACAGACTAGATGCCCCAATCCCATAAAGGTCTCCAGGACATGTAGTGTACAACTGCGACCTGAACACTTGAGGCAAGAAGATTGCTGCTACCAGCTCAAGGATAACCTCAGCTACATGCATGTTCAACGGATTTGGGAGTGTGGGTCAATTGGTAGAGGGCTTGCCCAGAATTTCCGAGGCCCCGAGTTCCAACCTCAGAAAAAGAGAACAAGAAGGTAGGCAATCTGGGCCTCTGGCCAGGAGAGCTAGCATAGCAAACCAGAACCGTAGGGAGCCCCACCGCCTTCCCTCTAGTGGGGGGAAGGGGGTGCCAGAGACATTCACTGCGACCCCTCCAAGCCCTGATCCCTTGAGGCAACAGCAGCCAGGTCTTTTACCTTTCTGTCCTGGTAGGAGACAGACCAACCAAACTGAGGGGTTGAATATGACTCAGCCCAGTAACACTGAACAGCAAGGTTTAATCAAGACATGAGAACCAGAAAATTGTTGACTTGAGTGGGAAAAGCAAAACCATGAGGGGATATAGACACCGAAGTGAGCAAAACTGAAAGCAGCGAGTGGGCTCAGGTGTGGAGTCCAGTGCAGAGGGCTCATCTGTGGTTCAAGAGGCCCCAGGTATCAGCTCCGTTATTAGAAAGTCAGGGAGGGGAGGAGGGGAAAAGGAGGAAGGCTTAAGCTGGATAGAATGCACCTGTAACCCCAGCAATGAGAATTAAGCAGCTAGTACCACATGCTGCAGTAAACAGTAAAGAACATAGCTGTTTTTTTATTAAGGCAGTAAAGATAGTCTCCGCAAAGAAAGAGGACACCGAATGAATTTTAGACACGAGAGACCCACTACTGAAGAAGAAGAAAAAAAAACTTAGCGGAAGGTGCAATAACAGTAGCGCCAGCACTGCCCAAGCTGTGCCTGGCAGCTCACACCTGTAACCCCAACCAGCATTGAGTGTCGTCGTCAGGAGGAGCAAAAGTTCCATCATTCTCAACTATGAGATTTTGCCTCAAAAACTAAGCTGGTTGTGGTAGTGTATGCCCTTGATCCCAGCACTTGGGAGGGAAAGACAAGTGGGTCTCCGAGCTCAGTACAGCCTGGCCCACACAGCAAGCTCCAGGACAGCCAGAGCTGTATAATATAGACCCTGTCTCAAAAAGCCAATAGTAAAGCCAGGTGGTGATGGCGCATGCCTTTAATCCCAGCACTCGGGAAGCAGAGGCAGGCGGGATCTCTGAGTTCGAGGCCAGCCTGGTCTACAAAGTGAGTTCCAGGACAGCCAGGGCTACACAGAGAAACAAACCCTGTCTCAAAGACCCATTAGTAGTAGTAAATGAATGAATAAACAAATAAAATGATAGAAATCACCTCAATCTGAACCTGCTAGGGGCTGCAGCAATGGCTCAGTGGTTAAAAGCGCTTATGGCTCTTCCAGAGGATATGGGTTCAGTTCCCAGCACCTACATGGTGGTTCACAACCATCCTTAACTCCAACTCCAGAGGATCCTGTGGCCTCTTTCGAACTCTGTAAATCTTGTCACACATATGGTACACACGCATGTTCAGGCAAAGCAGTCACATACATAAAATAAAGCTAAATTTAAGAAAGAAGGAATGGTCTGGGAAGACGGCTCAGTGGTTAGAACACTAACTCCTCTTCTGGAGGTCCTGAGTTCAATTCCCAGCACCCACATGGCAGCTCACAACCGTCTGTAACTCCAGTTCCAGAGGATTTGGCAAACGTGGTGGTGGCGCACGCCTTTAATCCTAGCACCCAGGAGGCAGAGGCAGGCGGATCTCTATGAGTTCCAGGCCAGCCTGGTGTACAGAGCGAGTTCCAGGACAGCCAGGACTACACAGTGAAACCCTGTCTCAAAAAACCTAAATAAATAAATAAGAGGAAATGGTGTGCAGGCCTCACTGGGATGGGTGAAGTGACTCGGGGACTAGGTGCTTTTAATTTGTATGCAAAGCCCACAGCAGCCACCAAAGAAGGCACAGACAGATGTGTGGCCATGGCTCAGGGCTGCACCCTGGCAGCAAACAGTGTTCCTCCATGACCTCTGCTTCAGTTCCTGACTCCCAGTTTCGGTTTGAGTTCCTGCCCTGAGTTCCCTTGGCTCATGGTGGATGTGACCTAGCCAAATAAACCTTTTCCTTCGCACACAGGAGTCCAGGTGTGGTGGCGTGTACCTGTAACCCTCTACTCATTGGGTGGAAGAGGCCGGGGATCAGAGGTCCAAGGCTGTCCTTGGCTGCAGAGGGAATCTGAGGTCACTTTCAAAAAGTCAAGTTAAATGTGCATCTAACGTAGGATCTGCTGTCCTGCTCCCAGGCACATGAATCACCCTACGTCCATATGAAGATTTGACAAGAACATCCATAGCAACAGACTGAATCAGAAGCCACTCCAGACTCACAAGCAGGGGAATGGAGAGACGCATTTCAGGACATCCCATAATGTGGATACTTCAGAATATCCATGACTGAGCCCTGGAAAGAATATGAGCAAAGACTTGAGACACTTCTGTGCGTATAAAACCCTAGGAAAGCACACACGTCAGTAGCGACGGGAGTGTCATGGATAAAGGGGGTTGGGAGGGCACAGGGAAACTGGGGGTGGCGATACACACTTTCATGATCTCACTGTAACAGTTTCGGCTGTGTATATGGGTATCTATAGATGTGTAATTGTCACTTTACCCATACTTCCAAAGCACTAATTATCCCTCCGTGAAGCTGTTTAAGGGGGGATTTATAAACAAAATAATAGTCGGTTAGACCTCTAAAACATAGTAAAAGATGCTCAGCCTCTCATTATAAGGGAAATAAAGATTGATAGTCACAACAACTGCAGACTTGGCCTCCTCGCCGTGCTGTGGGGGCTGCAGGGGAACCGGCACCAAAGCAGCGCCGGTGGGAAACACACACAGAACAAAGGGTCTTGGGGGAGAGGTGTCCGCACACAGAAAAATGACCTCTGTGTTCAAGTTTCTTGGAAAGTGGCCTGACTACACCTACACACACACACACACACACACACACACACACACACACACACCACTGTAACACTGTGTAAAATCACAAAATAGTGGACATGACCTAACTATCTCCCCTGGATGACTGACAAAACGAATGTCTGTGTGTGCAAAGGAGGGCCGTGAGCAAGGAAACCTGATGTGAGCTTCAAGACAACAACTGGGAGAGACAGGCAATCAATCCCAGGACGGTGGGGCACACCTGTAATCCTAGCATGCAGCTAGCTGAAGCAGGAAGACCATGAGTCGATATGGTTATAACAATATATGTGGGTCTAACGGTAATGCCGCTTCGTGTGTTAGGAAGGATGGTGGGAGGAGGGAAAAAGTGGTGGAGGGGTATTCTTCAGAATATGCTTTTGGTTCAGCTGTTTTTAAAGATTTCTTTTCCAGGCATGACGGGCACATGCTACCTGTGCCCTTTTATTCCAGCACTTGGGAGGCAGAGGCAAGTGAATTCTGTGAGTCTGAGGCCAGCCTGGTTTACACATAAAATTTCAGACCAGCTAAGGAGACCCTGTCCAAGAGAGAGAGAGAGAGAGAGAGAGAGAGAGAGAGAGAGAGAGAGAGAGAGAGAGAGGAAGGAGGAGGAGGAGGGGGAGGAGGAGGAGGAGGAGGAGAGGAGAGGAGAGGAGAGGAGAGGAGAGGAGAGGAGAGGAGAGGAGAGGAGAGGAGAGGAGAGGAGAGAGAAAGAATAAAACGGAACAAAGCAGGAACACATTGGCAGAACCTGAGCATCGTGTGAGTCACACTGAACTAAAAGGGTCCCGTGCTCCAGTGGCCAGAAGGATTCAGAGGACTGCTCCCAGAAAAGCGGCCTTTTCTGGTGAAAAGTCTCCAGAAAGTCATTGAAAGTCCTGGAAGTTATTCTGAGGACTCTCGGCCAAAGGGAAAACAGTATTCAGGAAAATCTACCAAATCCTGGCAGCAGCAGTGAGTTTGGGGCACTTGCCTTGGCCCCGTCCCCCTCTGCCCACATGATGGGTGCAGCTAAGGACAGGCTCCTCCTCCAGGACCAGCCTAGGGCTACCACACAGGCTTCCAAAGGCTCTCCATCCCAGCTCTGTGTGGTGCATTGCAGACTGCTTCGCCGGGGTCCTTCCTCACCAAATCCCCTCCAGAGCGTCAGGAAGAGGAGTCTACTCTCGGTGTCTTTGCCCAGGCTTACGGTAAGGTAGTGGGTCCCTGCCAAGAGAGGTGAGTGGAGGTCACGGTCACAGGCTGTCCCTTCCCAGATGCCAGATCTGTAAGTTGCAGGGCTGGCCCGGGCTGCCTCCGCTGACCAACAGTGCTGGAAGGCTCCACTAGGGGGCAGGCCAGCCTAAGGGCAGGGAACACCCTAGCTCAGACCCCAGGAAACAAAGCAGGAAGAAATTCCAACCCAAGTTGTCAACAAACACTAGATCGGAAGAGCATTTTGACATCAGACACAGAGACGCAGAGTCTGGAGTTTGCCCAGCTGGTTTTCACTCTTGCTTGGGTCCAGTACTTCCTCACCATGCTCCCTTCCCTATGTTTGGAATCATAATATATATCCTATGCCATTGTGTGTTGGAAGTTTGTGATCTGTTTTTTGATTTTGATTTTTTTTTTGAAATATCCACTTAGCAGAGTTTATTATTTCTCTTGTTGCCTAATTGCTGCCACTTTCCATGAAATTTTTGGCATCCTAGACAAGTTATAGTTTGATTTTATTTATAGAATTTAATAGCTTTATAATTGTATATGTTATATTTATAGAATTGATTTTGATTTTATAGGGTGATTACAGTTAATAGATTGCATGAATCTCAGGAGAGACTTTGAACTTCATGAGACAGATCACTTCTTGTTGTCTGCAAGATGTAGGACTCTCAGTTACTGCTCCAGTACTGTCTGCCATGTCCTATAACGGACCGGAACCTGAAGCTGTAAGCCTCCCCCATGAAATGTTTTCCTTTATAAGTATTGCTGTGCTCATGGTGTCTTTTCACAACGATAGAACACTAAGACAAGCCTCAAACACCCTTAACCTCTGAGCCAGCTCTCCAGCCCCTCTCATTTTCTTACAGGGCAGAAAATGCAAGTATCGTAAGTGGCCTCTGTAATTCATATCGTTATAAAATACGTGTCAACAATAGCACCAGTGCTGGAGAGCAGGACCCGACGATACAATATTTTTCTAAGGTTTGTGGAGTTGAAGTGTGAAGCAGAGGTGGGAAGTGGGAGCAGGCGATTGCACAACAGAAACTGTGGACTCTGAGGCTCTGACTCGAGGGTCATGTAAGCAGCCTTAGAACAACTAAGGAGCAGTAAAACCAGCCAGACATGGCGGGCCATGCCTTTGGTGTCTCTACTTGACAGGCAGAGTCGGCTGGATCTCTGTGAGTTCCAGGCCAGCTGAAGATACATAACAAAACTCTGTCTCAATGAATAAATAAATAAATAAAAATAAAAATCAGGGGGCTGGAGAGATGGCTCAGAGGTTAAGAGCATTGGCTGCCTCTTCCAGAGGTCCTGAGTTCAATTCCCAGCAACCACATGGTGGCTCACAACCATCTGTAATGAGATCTGGTGTCCCCTTCTGGTGTGCAGTCATACATGCAGACAAAACATTGTATACACAATAAATAAATCTTTTTAAAAAAATCAGAGGAAGTAGTAGTAAGAATCCAATAGAGGAAATAAAGTAAAGCAACACTATAAATTAAAAAAAATACTTTTTTTTTTTTTCTGAGACAGGGTTTCTCTGTAGTCTTTGGAGCCTGTCCTGGAACTCACTCTGTAGACCAAGCTGGCCTCAAACTCATAGAGATCCGCCTGCCTCTGCCTCCCGAGTGCTGGGATTATAACTGTTGTTTTTATAAAGAAAAAAACTTACTGTTGTCTTAGAGTTTTTATTGCCATGAAGAGATACCATGACCACGGCAACTCTTTTTGTTTGTTTGTTTGTTTGTTTTTGCTTTGTTTTTAGAGACAGAGTTTCTCTGTGTAACAGCCCTGGCTGTCCTGGAATTAGCTCTTGTACACCAGGCTGACTTCAAACTCAGAAAGATCTGCCGAGTGCTGGGATTAAAGACTTGTGGCACCACCACCCGGCCCAACCACGGCAACTCTTATAAGGAAAACATTTAATTGGGGTGCCTCACTTACAGTTTCAGAGGTTCAGTCCATTATCATCATGGTGGGGAGCATGGCGGCATGCAGACATAGACTCCTACACCTTGCAGGCCACAGGAAGGCGACTGAAACACTGGGAGGGATCCTGAGTTTAGGAAACCTCAAAGCCCACGTCCTCTAACAAGGCCACACCCACTCCAACAAAGCCACGCCTCCTAATAGTGCCACTCCCTATGAACTTATGGGGGCCCATTACATTCAAACTACCATGACTGTCATAGTTGGCTCACAATTCCAGGTAACAGTCCATCACTTTGGAGAAGTCAAAATAACAGGAACTTAAAGCAACTAATTATATTACATCCACAATCAACGCTGAGAGCCACGAATTGACAGATGTGTGCAGGACATAGAAGAAAGTGACTGACAAACTGCCAATATGGGCAGAACTGTCTTTGAAATTTCCTGCTTCATGGAAAAGCCTGCTAGATACTTGGGCCTGTGGGCTGAAGATGGATGCCCCAATGGTACAGAAGAATTCTGGGTGACTCTACAGGCAGTGAGATGTCTCTGTCATTTCTAGAGTTTTGGAAGTTGCTTACAATACACTTCCTGTTAACGTAGGTAATATTGTATCCTTCTGGGGTCTTTGATAGAGTTGAAGAATTTATAGTTATAGTTTTCCTTAGTTATGATAAAAGATAAAGTAGATATAAATATTGTAACTGTAATTTGTTGATTTATGGAGCGGCGGGGCTGCGTCCCCAACACCCCGGCCGCTTGGCTAGCTTATGCCCGAAATAACAACACACAAACTGTATTCATTTAAAGAACTGCTTGGCCCATACTCTAGCCCTTATAGGCTAATTCTCGCACCTGGACTAGCCCATTTCTAATAATGTGTGTAAGCACCCCAAGGTGCGCTTACCGGGAAGATTCTAGCCTACATCCATCTTCATCGCGTGTGCCTCAGAGAGCAGAGCTATTGCGTCTACCCGGGAGAGCTGAGCATGGCGTCTGTGTTCCGGAGAGCAGAGTCTCTCAGGGAGCCGAACAGAGTCTGACCTCACTTCCTCTTCCGCCCAGAATTCTATTCTGTTTACTCCTCCCATCTATGTTCCAGCCATGAGGCCAAGCAGCTGGTTTATTATAACTTAACCAATGAAATCAACAGATTGATATATGACACTCCCACATCAGTAATTCTTGCTTGATACCTGTTTTGTTATATGTAATTTTATTATGTTAAAGTTAAAACCTTCCTTTTTTATTTAAACAGAAAAGGGGAGGTGATGTGAGAGTCCCCTCTGTATGCTGTGAATTCATTGGTTAATAAAGGACTGCTTTGAGCCCATAGCAGAGCAGGGCAGAAAGAGCTGGGGGGGAACCAAAGTGAATGCTGGGAGAAAGAAGGAGGAGTTAGAAAGAAGCCATGGAGCCACTGCTGGAGACAGATGTGCTGAAACAACTTTTCTGGTAGGTCACGACCTTGTGGTGATGCACAGATTAATGGAGATGGGTTAAATTAATATGTAAGAGTTAGCCATTAAGAAGCTAGAGCTAATGGGCCAAGCAGTGTTTTAAACAATACAGTTTCTGTGTGGTTATTTCAGTTCTGGGTGGCGGGGACGAACAAGCGGTCTTCTTCCAACACGTGTGTGCCGGTGTTGGTGTTCAGCTTGCTTCCTCCACTCTTACACAGCCCGGGATCCCATGCCAATTTACCCACAGGAGGTAGGGCTTCCTACCAATCAAGATAATCCCCCACAGGCTTGCTCACAGGCCAACCCAATCTAGACAACCTTTTTTTTTTTTTTTTTTTTTTCGAGACAGGGTTTCTCTGTGGCTTTGGAGCCTGCCTGTCCTGGCACTAGCTCTGTAGACCAGGCTGGTCTTGAACTCACAGAGATCCGCCTGCCTCTGCCTCCCGAGTGCTGGGATTAAAGGCGTGCGCCACCATTGCCCAGCTAGACAACCTTTTTTAAAAAACTTTAATTTTAAAAAGTTTATAAGTGTTTTGACTGCATGATTGTGCAACGTAGGCATGACTGATGCTCGCGGAGGCCAGAAGTGGGCTTTGGATCCCTGGAACGGGAGTTCAGGGTAGTTGGTTATGCGCCACCACCATGGAGGCAGAGGGAATGGAAACTTGGTCCTCTACAAGAGCAGCCAGGGCTCTTAACCACTGAACCATCTTGCTAGCCTTTGGACAATCCTTTATTGACTCCCTCCACAGGTCATTCTAGGTGTGTCAAGTGACAATTAACTGTTTACTGTGTCATCACCTAGCCCAGGATTAAACTTGTAGCAGACTCCACCTCTCAAGTGTTGAGATTACAGGCATGAAACACATGCTTGGCCTAATTCTTTTATATTGAAGTTCATTTTTATCTATCAAAAACATAGTGTGCCGGGCGGTGGTGGTGCAAGCCTTTAATCCCAGCACTTGGGAGGCAGAGGCAGGCGGATCTCTGTGAGTTCCTGGTCTACAAGAGCTAGTTCCAGGACAGGCTTCAAGGCTACAAAGAAACCCTGTCTCCAACAACAACAACAACAAAAACAGCTGTGTCTGCTCTTTATTTTCCTCCTCCAGTCTGTTGCTGCAGGAACGCCATGCAGAGGAGACACGTTGAAAACAAGCAGAAAGACTCAGTTCTGTCACTGAGGAGTTAAATACAAACTGACCAAACATTCTGATTAAAAGGAAGCTATTGCACCAGGCAGTGGTGATTGTGCCTTTAATCCTAGCACAGGCAGAGGCAGGCGGAAAATAGGCCAGCCTGGTCTACAAAGCGAGTTCCAAGACACCAAAGCTACTCAGAGCAACCCTGTCTGGAAAAGCAAAAAAATAAAAAAATAAAAATAAAAATAGTGGGTTGATGAGGACACTCAATAGCTCCCCCAGCCACTAAGCCTGACCATCTCAGTTCGTTTTGTGGGATCCACAAGCAGAAGGAGCAGGGGGGAGAACTGACCCTTGAGAGTTAAGGTGCACACACAGATAGCGAGTCCCAGACCAGCCGAGGTTGCACAGTGACACCTTGTCTCAAGATGATGATGAGGAGAAATAAATAAATAAATAAACAAACAAATAAATAAATAAACAAACAGACCAACATCAGCCTGAGAACTAAGTGACCAGACCACTGAGTGTTTGCTCCTTTGCTCTAGGAAGTTTCTGGTTACCTAAGGGAAGCCCAGCCCCTGGCTGTAGAGTCCAGGGTAGGGGTCGAGTATACCAGCCCTATCCTGTAAGAGGAAGTGACTTAGGGACGCTAGGAGAACCCGAGGCTAGGTCCGTTTTGATAGGTATCTTAGCCCTTTGTCCCGGTTTGGAATTTGACAGTCTGGTTTTTTGTTTGTTTGTTTTTTGTTGTTGTTTTGATAGCCATTCCTATCCAGGATCTGAACTATTGTGTATTATACTGAATTTACATCTAGTGTCTGAAGAGCTACGCTGCTCTGGGAAGACGTGGTGGAGAGGGAGTAGAGGTGGAAGGAACGGCTTCCCAGGGATAATTGGAAAGCACAACGTGGCCCCGGGCGTGCGCAGTTTGTACCTGCTCGGCTCCAGTTTCTACAAGGCCGGTCCCCTCGGCGCCGAGCCGCCGTTTCCGAGGATTTTGTTCGCCGTTGCACCGTAGACCGTACGGAGGTCCTGACAGTGCGCTTCCGGCCCCGGCACTTCCGGTATCGGTGAGCTGAGTCTGAGCTAAGGTGTTGGGCGGCTCTCGCCGCGTTCCTGCGGGTCCTCGTGGCGGCGCCGCGGATAAGGCGGAGGCTCCGGGGCCCTGTGTCCCTTTCTTTGGAGCGTGCCCGCAGCCACAGGCCTTCTGGAGCCGCGGCCGGCCCCAACAGTGCGGGAAGTCGTCCTAATCCGAGCCCCTTCGCGCTCATTCGGTGGAAGCCTCGGCCCCCTGCCCAGCCCAGGGGACCGGGTCAGAGCAGGAGGCTCAAGGCCAGACGAGGAAGGGGGCCCGGTGGGCTGATGTGCTCGCTGCTCTCCCTGCCCGAGATCCGGGGTCTCGCCTGGCCAGGTCCCACCCGCAGGGGCGCAGAAACGTTGTTCCTGCACTGACCTGTTTATCCTCCACACCCGTTCCACCAGGCTGGCATTTAATCCAGCAGCAAATGAGGGGGTAAGGTCCGGACAGGGTCAAGGCTGGGGGTGGGGG